CTGGTAGTCAGGCAGGCTCAGTTGCAAGCCCTGCTGAAAGCAGTCTGGGCTCCATGGTTGGCAGCAGCTCCCAGAGCCTGGGCCGGTTGCAGCCAGTAGGCTGCAAACAGTTGCTTCGGGCTCCAGCATCAGCTCCATACTGGTGGGTGCATGCGCGCCTCAGAGCGGACGATGGGGATAGGGCCTGAGGCAGCACAACCCTCCCGCTGTCCATTCTGAGGTACACATGCAGTCACTGCCAACATGGAGCTGATGCCAGGCCTGTGGAGCCTGGCGCAGCTGTTTGCAGCCTGCCCGCTGACTGATGCAGCTGCCCAGAGCCCAGGCTGGCTACAAACAGCTGCGCTGGGCTCCAGAGCCCAGTCATCAGCTCTGTGTTGGCAGTGGAGAAGAGGCCAGGGTTGCACTGCCTCAGGCTGCTCCCCCACTGTCCACTCCAAGGCGCGTGTGCACCCACCGGTATGGAGCCAATGCCAGAGCCCGGAGCAGATACTTGCAGCCTCCTGGCTGCAACCAGCCCAGGCTCTGGGTAGCTGCTGCCAACCATGGTCTGCTTGCAGCAGGGCTTGCAGGTGCCCAGCTGCCTCCTGGGAGCAGCCTGGGCTTTGTGGCTGGCAGCAGCTGCCTAGAACCCAGGCTGGTGGTGGCGTGCAGAGCAAAATGGCCTCACGTGTTGTGCTCGGCACATGTGCCGGGGGTTGCTGACCCCTGGACTAGACCAAGGCCTACAGTTCACTTATGTTCATTTCGGAACAAGCAATGGTATTATAAAACTTATATATGGTGCCTCTAGGTGGGTGAATTCCATGGTCGCGATAAAGACTATGAGTAGAATGAGCTAGACTTCACCTTGGGTGCATATTTCTCTTGATTAAAAATTCAGATATAATGAGAGTTTTCTTTTAAAAAGTGAGATCAGAAATTGTATTAGAAACAACCAGAATTCTGAAATCTGTAAGAGGAAGTTCAAACAGCAGCTCTCTCTAGTTCCAAAACAAATCTGTACTACAGACAGCTTTACAAATGTACACTATACAGATATATATACACACCAATTAATAGGTCCATATATCAATCACTAAGTTCCTCCTCATCACTGAAATATGCACTCTTTTTTATCCGTGGACGTTTTGAATCATCTGATGTTGAAGGTTCCCCTGCAGACTGTTTCCATCTCTGCTGTTCTTCTTCAATTTTGGCTTGCTGTAAAGCAATTGAAAGAATGGAAAGGGGAGGGAAGATTTTTTTTTAAATTCTCTGTGGCAATATACATGATATTAAACGGATCATTCAAATACTACTTTATATAGTATTTAGTATATTAGTATATTAGTTCTGAGGCTATAATTAAAACCCTTAAAACCATTTATATTGAATGCACTCTTAAATGGACCAGCTGCCTGTAGAACAATTTCTAAAAATGATTCCGAAAACAAATGATGTCCTTTTATGCTATTGGGCAAGCAATCTTTAGCGCTAGCCAGAAAGATCAATTGCCAACCTCAAGTGTAAGAAAACAATTTGTTTGCAGTCCTGGGAGTGTAGCACACACAGAAAACAGGATTTGAAATAAAGTGCTTTGTATTGTGGATACATTGGAGATGTCTTGGAAGCAGGGAGAGACTGATATTTTGTCATGTAGAGGAGAAGGGGAAACAGGTCATTATCTCAAGGAGAACCTGTTTTTTTTCCAAGGAAGGATACATTTAACCCTAATCATTCTGCATGTTACCCACATGGGAATATTCAGGTTTATTAAAGTGCCCAAATTATTTTCTGGGTATGTCTATACCATCTCTGCAGCAATCCTCTGCTAAGAACCAAGCCCCATTGCAAGTGCCACTTGACAAGTGTTGAATGGTTAACACTCACATGTGGGTTTAGAAAATAATGTCGTTCAGGAGACAGTGGTGGGTTGGGTGGCAGAGGGGAGGGGCTACTTAAAATAATGTCTTGACACAGGTATGGAAAGAAGGCATAAAGCATCCGTATGTTTATCTGATGAGATGTGCTACGCAAAAGGGGTCAGGAATAGAGGAGGGTATGGGGAAATGAATGCTGATATTTGCAGGAATAGAAAATTTCCAACATAAAAATAAACCACAGACAGAACCAGCAAACCAGTGGAATGATTTTTAGAATGGACTCAATGCAGCAGCAACATTCAGAAGCAGAAAATAATCACATTATCAACAGATTAAATAAAACAAGAGAGCCAAACAGTGTGCTGAAGATGACAGAAAGGAAGATTGCTGTATGTTTTGTAGCCTGGACTCTTGTAGCTGTTGCTTGCCACCCTCTCCACCCCTCACATAAGTAAATAATGCAAAACAGTATTTAGAGACAAAATACACTATTCCTAAGTTTAGTACCTGGAAAGCGATGGCCTGGCTAAGGCTATCAAGAGAAGGGTCTTCTCCCTCATCTTCACTTTCCTCCTCTTCTTCACTAGGTAGCATAAACAGAAAAGATGGAAAAAAAAAGATGCATAAAGTTTTATTTCAGATCCCCTTACAAAAATGTAATGATTTGACTCTTATGTAGAAATACACATACATTTCTTCTGGTTCAACAACTTTTTTTCTTTTCTTCTTTTCTTTCTTTTTTGGCGGTTCACGCTCTCCTAGCATATTTTTTGGACAAGCATAACTTAAATGTCCTGCCTCCTTAGAGAAAAAGAAATCTTAGTTAATAGATGCCATTAAAAGCAGGTACCAAACATGAAGAAAATTATTCTGAAGAAAATTAACATTAAGAAAGGAATGCTGTATTAATATATGGAATACAAACAAAAGAATTCCTCCCTTAAAATTCACCTTGGAAATGTGGAAAGTTAACAGTGATACTGTATATTAGCTTCAAGTTTGGAATGAACTCTAAAATGTACAAGCGATTTACTTCTGGCCTTGACTATATCAGCAATCTGACTGAGAAATACAATGTTATTTCAGTATGGTAGGAAAGTAGATATTTAAATTACTAGAGTGTATTTTAGCATTAAACAATTCTCAACTTTTAAAATTTTTAGCTTAAACTAAAGTGTGGAACTGACTTAAAATTAGAAAATAAAAATTTCTTGAGATATATGCGAGTCGGAGGAGGACAGTTTTGATTTGTTTTGGTTTTTTAAAGTTTCTTTCCCCCCTACTGATCTGTTGTAGAATATACAATTCCCTTTCCCAATTTAAAAGCTTTCAGAAGTGAAGCAGAAAACAGTTACTCTGATCCAGGGATAACTAACCCCAGCACAGGTGCCAGAGTGTGGCACTTGAAGGCATTTTTCTTGGCACATGTGCCTCAGGGCAGATGGCAAGGAAGGGGCCAGGGCTGCACTGCCACAACAAGGATCGGGTTCCTGGTGACTCCCCCACAAGCCACATCTGCCCCTGGCATGCCAATATTTTACAAGTTGAGGTTGCAGGTGTTTTTGGCATTTGGCCCAGAAACATTGCTGACACCTGCTCTAATAAAAAAAAAAAGATAATGCAGCATTATAAGTTCTAAATATAGTCTGCTGCTGACTGCGTATCAGACTATATACTTATAATTACCACATAATATTTTTTTCTGAAAAATCCCAAATTCCCAGAAGAGATAAGGCTAGAACCACTGCTGAAATGGAATAAGTATGGATGGCTGTTAGCCCAAAGAATACTACCACTTTTATGGGGGGAAAAAATAGTAATAGCAAAATTAGACAAACAAATGTAGTGGAAACATTTTAGATCTATCATAGGTTACTTACTCCACATTCATAACATTTAGATTTATCAAAGTAGTTTCGCCTGCGGATGAATTCTGCTGCTCTTCCATTGTCAATGGCAATACTTGCTTTTATCACTCTTCCAAATAACTAAACCAAAAGGGGAGGGGGAGGGCAAGGAGGAAAAAAAAAAAAGTCAATAACATCGAGTCAATACTTTTGAGGAATCTGAATAGCTCCCTTTTTGCTATAATCTTTTTCAGATGCTTACTTGTTTGTTATTTAGTGCCCGAGAACAGTTTTGGGCAGACTCTTTATCCAAAAACAAAATGAAGGCAACTCCTTTACTCTTCCTGGTGTCTTTGTCCTTCATAATAGTAACTCTGAAAACAAATAACCAAGACACTCATTTAAGGGGGAAAAAAAAAGTGGCTTGATGGGAAAAAAATCCTACCTAGGAGTTCCGAGAGCTTTGTTCAATATATGTTAATTAAACAGTGATAGGCAAAATACTTTATGCAAACACCTTTCAAGGAGAGCAAAGTCCAGATAAAAGGCTGATATGGCTTTTTATTAGCATCTGTGAAATTCTGACTAGACCTAGACAAAAAACAAAGTTCCTTATGTTGGTAAAAAAAAAAAAAAAAAATCCAATAAAAATGGGTTGAATACTCTAGCTTTTACATGACCCAAGTAATTTGTGGAATGGGGGAGTTTTCAGCTTAAGATGGCCATACGTTATATTAGTCCAGGACATCCTTGTTTAGATGGAGCAGTTCATACATCTGACTGTCAGGGGGCCTGGTTAAGGTCAAACAGTATCACAGCAATGCAACATGCAGCCGCAGAATTGGGATGTGGGCAGAAGCAAGTAGGTCACAATCTAATTTTTTGTGTAAAAAAGGCACTTATCTTCTGGATGAGCCTTCACTCCTATGCCAGTGGGTCTGCCTGGAGCTAGCTTACTACACCAGGATATAAAAAGAATTGCCCTTACTTTTCTTGCTAACACTTTTTTTTTTTTTTTTAAACGTAGCATTATTTAGCAGCAGAGCAAAAATCCAATTAGAAGAGTCCAGTGCATGCTCTAAGCTTCCGACTTAAGTTGTTCCTGGTTCAGTCTTTAATGTTTTTGCCTCTTTCATTTTTATCATCTTACCTAAGGGGAAAAAAAAGATTGTTTGGGAGTTTATAGCTTTCAAGTGACAAAGGCAGAGATGCTTGTGTCTGTGTATGCACTCAGAGCATGAAAAAAGAAATTGGCTCTTACACTATAGCTTTTTCTACCAGCTTTAAAAGGGTTTTTCTTCTTATTGTCCATGGTTTGACTAGCATTTCCTACTGACTATACTAAATTCCTACTGAATATAGACTATTAGGGTTTTCATTTTAATAGAGTAAATGTATTACTGTCAGACATTCATTAAGTACTGAAAAAGTAATTTTATTAAAATTGATTAATGTAGTAAATTAGTTAATTTAGCTAATTAAAATCATTAAAGTTCACTACTGTAAGTACTAGCAGTTTCTAGTAAGTTGATTTTATATAATATTTATTTATACTGCTAATGTTATTTTGCTGGTGATCAAGGCCTTGAAGCAGTAGTTCCCATTCTGTTTAGGAGTTAAGGCAGGGGTGGGCAAAATGGTGGATCCAGCTGACAGTCAGACTTCATTTCCCAGGAGCCCCTGCTTGAGTTGCTGTGGCCAGTCTCCATGGAGACCCCAGTAGTGGCAGCGCCAGGACAAGGTTTCCATGGAGACTGGCCCCAGCAGCGCTGGCAGGGTTCAGGCTTGCAGCTGGGTGGGTAGCTGCTCTGGGGCAACGGCTGAGATCTTGCAGGGGTGACAGCATGGCCCAGAGCTGGGAGAGAGTTGTGATCTGCTGCCCGCATACCCCGGGCACCCCTTATCTCCCTCCCAGATTTGGGGTGTGCAGGCAATGGATCGCAGCTTTGTTGCAGCTCCGGACCACGCTGTCACCGCTGCAATATCCCATCCCTGGTCCTGAAGCAGCTCCCCGCCCAGCCGCAAACCCTGCCAGTGCAGCTTGGACTAATCGCCACAGAAACCCTGGCCCAGCGTTGTCACAGTGCCACCGCTACTGGGGTCTTCATGGAAACCAGCTGCAGCAATGCAGGCAGTGCCTGCTGGGAAATGGAGTCCACCACAGACTCGATTCAGCTCATGGGCTGGACTTTGCATGCCTCTGAGTTAAAGGCTAACACTATTTGTTTTTAAACCCAACAGACCAACAGTTGCACTTTTAAATTTCTGCCCAGTATACCAGAGCTAATATTTAGAAGCGTTTACTGATTCCCATAAGAGTTTTGACTCATCCAGAGTATTTCTAGCCATGGCAGATGATGAGATACTGAAGCTTGAAGTCATGTTGGCTGCTGACAGACATGAAAAAAAAAAAACCCAACAAAAAACCCAGTGCTTTACCAGAAGCAGCAGTATGTTAGTTCAACCCGGCTCCGTAGTGTCTGTATACGTTGGGCGCTTCAGCAGGGTTTTTTGACATTTTATCTGAAGTTGATTCAATCAGCTATTACACAAAAGTGCAAGAAAAGCCCTGCTGAAGTACCTAATCTGTACAGATATTGGGTGAACTGGGTCAAACTGGCATGATGCCTCTTCTGGGCATGCATGGGGCTTGGCGCAGGGGTGTGCGGAGTTTAAAGTAAAGCGCTGTTTTTGTTTTTTTCTGTCTGTTTAGCAGCCGTTACTCTTATCTTGCTCTCCCTGCTCAACTGTTTAATACTATGAGCAGTTTCTCTCTTTGAAGTTGTCACTTGGACATTTGAAAGCCCTCTTCAAGTCTTTAAGGTAGTCTTTTGCTCTAATATGTCTTGAGATACTGCAGTATCTGCTAAAATCAAAACAGACTTGAAAGTGGAAGGTGGAAAATAAAGACAAGACAGAAACAAGAATAACCAAAATAATTAGCTATTGAAGGTCCAGTATCTTACAAGTCACTGCTCCATTCTTTCAGCCTCTTATAGTTTGAATGCAGGTACACTGAACTGCCTTGCACCCACACTTGTCAAAAGAAAAATGAGAATTCGTTGAAGTCAGATGAGGATCCTGGAACTATATTCTACTTGCTCCTTTTCACCTCCAGTCTGAAAGCTCACGTGTGTGTGCCTGCAAAAACCTCCCAATTGCTATCAGTAAACTGAAACTTACCTTCTATTCCGATATGAGCCAAAACTTCAATATAGTCCCACACTGGAGACCAGGGATAGGCAACCCCCAGCACGTGTGCCAATTAGTGGTACATGGAGACATTTTCCTCAGTGTGCCAGGAGGTGTACCGAGGAAAGTTTAAAAAAAAAATGTAAGATGCTGCTCCGAGCTCTTTGGAGCAGCCACAGCTCCCAGTGCCATGGCAGGCAGTGGGGATGGGGTGAGGAGAGCCCTGGCTGGGACACAGGGATGCTGCCCGTGTTCTGCTGACCCTGCCCCAATGTCTTGGGTGATGCTGAATGCTTCACAAAGCTTCAGAAAAGCTGCCAGTGCCACAGCAGGCACCAGGAGTGAGGTCGAGAGAACACAGGCAGGGACGCTGTCTTTGTTCTGCTGACCCCAGCCCCATGCCTGCTGTGGTGCTGAGTTTCACAAACTCAGCCATAGGCACCAAGGTCGGGGTCAACAGAATGCAGGCAGCATTGCTGCATCCCTGCCTGTGTTTTCCAGCCCCTGCCCCTGCTCCTGGTGCAGAGACTCATGGGGTCAGGAGAACATCGGGGGGGAGGGGGGTGGTGATGCTGCCTGCAGGACGACACAGTGGGGGGAAGGGCAGTGTGGAGCGGGTGGTGCCAGGAGGATGCAGCACCAGCCCCCCCCCGGCATATGAGGGAAGCACGTAGCTCTGGGCAGCAGATAGCTCAGTAGCCTGTTGGTGCCGGTGCCGATTTTCTGTGATTTGCAAACTGAGAGTTTAACATTGCATATTATTAAGGTTTTTTGCTTTGTTAAACTGATCCATATTCAGTTTTTTCACTCCGTTAAATCGTTTCATACTTAGTTTTTGCTTCCTCAAGCCAGTTCATATTAGTCAGTTTATTTTCCTCTGCTAAATCGTTTCATACTCAGTTTTTGCTCTCTCTTTCTCGCCCCCTCCCTCTTTTTCTCTTTTTTCTTCTCTCTCTCATTACAACAAGCTTAACAAAAAAAGAATACAGAACAAAGGTAGTATACACTAAGCTTTATTTATTGTTACCAGGTTTAGAACTTTTAGAAAACCTGGTATTTACTGTAAAGAAAAAAAAAGCAACATTTATGGTTATTAACTATATTAATATGCGCTACGTCCTGCCATGTACCCCCTGCCTTGGTTTTGTTTTTCTGGCATGACAGTACTCCGGCACCTTACAAGGTAGACATTGTGGGTATTTTTGGCACTCCAGCCAAAAATGTTGCTTACCCCTGCTCTAGACAGAAATTACAAGGGCATAACTTGCCCAAAATAAAGAACATGCATTGAATGCCAAGTTGAAAATACACATCAGATCACTTACTTGACAACTTTGCCATATTTGGAAAAAATCTGGAACAAAAAGAAGAATAGACAAGTTTACCAGACTGCTGTCAAATTAAGTACAGCAATACAATCTAAATGGGCACTGTTCAGATATTTAAAGTTTACATATGACACTTACATGCAACCATTATATAATGCAACTCTTTAAGGAGAGGCTTACTTACCCTGTATAAGTCATTGTTGGTCAGAGCAAAGGGCAAGTTGGACACGTACACTGTGCTTTTACTTGGTGCCAATCCACCACTCATTTTCCTGGGGATAGAGAAAAATTAATTGATTCAATTCAATGACTCAATCTTAATAAAAATAAAAATAAAATAAAATATAGAATGTATAGCCACATGAAAATTGTGAGAATAAAGTGGCTTCAAAACCCGTTACCATTTCATGTGAAATCAACACTGACTTTCATATTCCACAGGGTAAAGGAAAGTCATGAGCAGCAATGCAGCTTTGAAATCACAAACTGACTATGAGACAACCTCAATGCAGTTAGCAATTGTGATTACTAAAATGATCCTTGAACAATGTGAAATCAATTCTGGTTTCAGAGTAAAACAAAACACATAATTTTCCACTCATTAAACCAGTTGCTGAAGTTAATGAGACTTATTTGAAAAACAAGTAAAAAGGGTATTTTTCTCTTGTTTTAAATGATTTGGCCCTCTGGATATAATCAGGCAAGTCCAAGCTTAAAAACTCATCCTGATAAGTTAAACCTCTTCAAAGCAAGACCCTAATGAATAGAAAAGCACAATGTGTTAACTTTAAACAGAATAACATACTGTGCCACATTTTAAATAGTTATGAAAGCCTCTCATTTCCTGGTAATTTCTTCACATAGTTCCCTGCACCCACTTCTGCCTTAGCTCCCAGCACTTCTTTCCATGTTCCCCTGAACTCTGAGGTTTCCTTTTAACCTTCTCGATGGACTACATCTCCCCTATGTGCATCCCCTCTTCCAAATGCTCTGTTGACAGCACTTCTTGCTGTTCGATCACCTTCACTCCCTACTTCTCACAGTGTCTCCCCCACTTCTAAAACTCCCTTCTCCCATCCATGTATGGAGGTAAAGAGCCAGTCTTTTTAAAGTTAAATATATGTATATATATTGAAGCAGTTCTCCTCTGAGTGTGTACTAGATTGTAACCATAGGTAAAAAACAAAAGAAAACCAAGGGGGGTAGTGAGGAGAAGAGACCAAATTGCAGCTTCCTTACAACTTTAAGGATACACAAACCTACATACAGCATCACTTTCCTTTTGACTTATCGGATATTTGTGACTTGTTCTAAAACCCAGAATAACATAAAAAAAATGAAGGATCAAAATGACACTGTCTTTTGTTGACAAAGTACCTTTAAGTAGCATAGCAAGTCAGTTTCCTCATTGCCTTCAAGCCCCACTCAGTTTTTTGGGGCCATCATTCAGATGTAATAAACTGCTAGTGAATTTGTTTCCTGGTTATCTTATTGTGGCCTTTATTAAATATAAAATACTGCTCAAGGAAGACCAAACATGTTGAGTTTGCTGATCAAGACATCTTTGAAGTAAGTCATCAGGAAAGAATCAGGAAAAAAAACATTACAAGTTAGTGACAAAGAAATTGCAATGGAGTGGAAAAGAACACTTAACTACTTCTTTTCTTTTTTTTTTTACATCAACTTCACAGATATCTATTTTGGTAAAGATGGGAAATTTAGGGAGACTATTTTCTTTTAAGAGAAGTGTGAGGAAGTCAGGAGGGAAGCCAGCCTTACCTTACACTAGGCAATGACAGTGCTACAACCAAAATCAAACCCTGGTTAGTATCTAAACTCTGTCTTCAGTGGTTGTGTGCACAGAGTACATTCTTGTTGCATGCTGATTTCCAAAGTATTTTAAACCTCTGTTTCCTACTCCAGTGCAATCTGCTTGGGTGGTAGCTAAGTCACAGAGCTTTGATTTTTCCTTTCCTTCTCTGTTTAGGGGCTGTGTTTCTTTTAGCATGAGTTTAAATAGCATGAAGAAGTTAAGCAAATAAAAAACCAGAGGTAGTTCATAGTGGACATATATTAGTTTGTGGTGTTATGCAGGCAATCTGCTTAATCGTAAACTCCTGGCTGCTTGGCACCTGTGTCCTGTGACAAGACCTAACCCAACTGACTTGGCACCATATTTCATGTATTGATAGTTGTAAGTCTGGTTATCCAGGTGCAGAACACAGTATTCCAAAGCGGTTATGAAAAGCTATCCTGTCCTTGCATTATGGCACACTGCCATGCTAATTTACTGTAATGTGCAGAATCTCCAATAGCTATAGATAGCAATTTACCTAGACGATACCAGAAAACAGCATCAATTACAACTTGCAGTTCTCACCACCAAGGCCAGTTTTGGTAAACAGATGTCAGCAACACCTACATGGCAGTATGCACGATTTTGGGATCATGATCTCAGGCTGATTGTTGGCTGCCCCTGGGGACCCCCTGGGCCGCTGAAGCCCTCCAAAGCTGGCAGGTGATCACCTGACTGATGGCTGGCAGGCACTGGATTAGGGCTCCATCTGAGACGCAGTGCAGTCTACCCAGTCACACATTCATTTTAAGGTGTTATAATTTTGTGGCTGGTTTCAGTTGCACATTTTTTGTGTAATAGTTTTGTGGTTAGTTTCTCTTTTTGTTGTGACATTAATTGCCTAAATACATGGCTGGGTTACACATTTATATGCAACTAGCTGTTTAATTGTTTCTTAGGTGTAACATCTGTCAGGGGCCAGTGTCATTTGTTAGCAATGGCAGGAGGACTTCCTGCCTTGCCCCTCAGGCCTTCAAGAGTCAAGACACTCCCTCTCC